TCTTCGGAGTACAAAAGCTGTGTATCGTTGTATTCTATATCACTTAGTTCATCACCACGTGAGTCTGCGGGAAAGGAGTTGCAGACCAAATAGAGACAACGGCAGTCAAGTTTTAATCTGCTGTATTAAATGCTATGGACGCTTTGACAGCGGCTACACAGAGTCTCCAACCGTATTGAGTGGATTTTGTCGCACACCGCATGTACTTGTTGCCCATACGTGTGTTTTTATATTGAATAGCTCTGACCACCAAGCGCTCCCCATTAAACGGTTTTATAAGCGGATCCATGAACCCCATAAATGATTGTTGTTGTAATGTCATTTTTAATAAATTCACTTAAATACATGTGGTCGAGATTTGTGTGTGATGTAACTGGGTGTCCGTCACGTGATATCCACGTAAGGTAAATGTCAATGAGGATTTTGCGCTACCAAATGTATATTTTCGATAAAATCCTGTCAGATTCTATTCACTATAATCAGTAATACTCTAATCATTGATTGAGGTAAGCAACAACATCACTAAAGTATACTGAGACACGATGGGCGTTTTTAATGAGTGGTGATGGTATCTCCAGTACATGTCTGTATTTGACAATACGGTAAAGACTAAATAAATTATGACAGAAGATTATCTGTACTAAATAGAGGTCGACTTTTGATCTGTCTTTAAAGTGCGTCTAATTCGTATTCAGATATCCATCTGCGCGTAAGTCGTACATGACGTGTTCGCGGCACCTACTACAATATGTTCAGTGTAGGTAACTGTTTCATGCGAGCGCTTGGAACCCGATAAAATCACGGTAGAAAAAAGCATGAGTATCGGCACCGTTTTCTCTCTATTATTACGCTGATTCCCGATATCCCGATGATGCGGAATAATTTGGGGCGTCATCTTTATTATTAGTACTATTGTGTGTAAGAAAGGGGAGAGCGCGCTGCATCGAGCTGCAAAGTTGGCGTGTCTTTGCGTCATATGTGGTGAAGATGCGTGGTAGCTGGATGGAGTTTCGATCAAATCCGAAATGTCTTTTTACAGGAAATTGAAGGGATCGGAAGGTCGTTAATAAGGAAAAATGACGAGGGCGATAAAATAGTACGGGTAAAAAGCCTTGGGGATCACTATTTTATAAATTTTGGTCTTTCATAGAAGTGGATGAAGATTTAGTATTCACGTACCCATTACCGAGGGGTGCGATTAGGAAATGGGTTTGCGTTGTGGTGAATAAACAAGAGAGCTGGATAAATTATGTCCCATACAACCACTTTTTAATTTTGTCGACGTCTAAAACATAGAAATATGAAAAAAGAGAAGCGGGCATGATCCTGGAATGGTAACCCGTAAATAGAATAGTGCTGCCTACGACACTCTGTAGGCAATGATGCTGGGCAAAAGAAGGTTCTGAGAGAGAAAGTTGCTACCGAGATATCGATAGGGAGCAGGCTCTGAAGCTCGCCTATTGATATAGGTAAATCAGTTCGGAGAACTGAATCAAGTTGCAATATACCATACGACAGCAGTAACTGAAGGATGAGTATGACTGTTAATTTCCGTATTTGTTCAGTCCAGTATACTTGAGCACCGCGATCAGCCTTTGCTTATGAGCGTCCAGCAATGGCCCAATTGATCAAATTATCCTTTAAATAATTTTAAGCCAATCACGTGCGTGTGTCACAAAAGTGACTTAGCCAAAGGGTGCCTTCGAGTATGCCAATATACCTGTGAGGGGGACAGGCTAGATCAGACTTAGTACGTGTATAGTACATTCAACCGTGTGATTTCATAAACACATTCTCAGACATTAGTGCAATTAAAAGTTCGGCATTCACCTTGCGCACACTCACTGATAGCTTTACCCCTTCGGGCTCGCAATATGTACATATATTGTATGTCTGCATATACATACACATCGAACTTCAAGGCCCGTATTGGAGGTCAATCCATCACGATCAGCTTTATGTCAAATCGCCTGAAGGCTGCTGCCTGTTCTCAAAGAGCAATTGTAGGCAGTGGCACTTGACAAGGAGGAATGTTTATGCCGTAAATTTGAGCGCGCCACCTATGCAGACGTCGTCAACACTCCTTGGCGACTCTGAAGACTGGGGGTGGTGCAAACGCCTTTGTTGGCGATTGCAGACCAGGATATACCTTTTCATGTGGTCTGTGACGCCAGCATTTTTGCAACCGGCTGCGCGTCAATGCAGTACGACTTAGACAGCGTTGAGCGCGTCGTCTAATATCAATCACGTCAGCTGCAAGCAGCTCAGCGAAATATCCGGTGCATGACAAGGGAGCTCCTTGCCATAAATATGCACTGCCAAGTTTCGGGTATATCTCTTAGGAGATTGGCCCTTCATCGTTTATACCGACCATGCGTCGTTACGCACGGCCGTAAACAGTCCACACCTCCTGCAACGGCGAGGTGGCTGTCTTCTGCGCGGTGTACAACTTCTTCGTCAAGTAAAAACCAGGACGACTTAATGTTGTCGCTGATGCTCTTTCGCGTCGGCCCGATTCCTAGCCGACTGCTCAAAACAAAAATAGGAGTGATCCCACTGTCGCGACACTAATAGTGAGTGTTCCGTCGTCGAATCTGCTCGATGAAGTGCAAAAATCATACAAAGAAGGTGAGTCTCTTCTGCAATAAGGGGATTTTGTATCCAATCTATGTAATCAAGCTTCGATAAGCTTGTCGTCTCAATACCGCTCTTCAACCGAATGGTATTCGGTTCGTGATGGACTGCTGTACTATACAGCAGTCGACGGCGACACACATCGTGTCGTCGTTCCGGCTCATAATGATTTGCGATTGCGCATCATGCATGAGTTTCACGATGCCCCAACAAGTGGATATCGCGGCAGGGAAAAGACTTACCTCATGGTGAGTCGTGACTTCTGCTGGCCCCGCCAGTATGTGTTTGTGCGGAAATAAATTCGCACTTGCCAAGTTTGTCAACGAATGAAGCCTAGTCCTTCATCCCGCGCACCCTTGCAGCCTCTACCGATTCCGGTAGAGTGTTGGCAGTCCGTATCGATGGACTTTGTCTTCGATTTTACTAAACACGTTCACAAGAATGCTGGTATTCTTGCGTTTGTTGATCGGTTCAGCAAGATGGAACATCTTGTTGCGGTAACAGAGTCGATCACAGCCCAGGGCTGTGCTCGTGTCTTTATCAATAATATCTTCCCACTTCACGGGTTATCCCGTGAACACGTGTCTGATAGGGACCCCCGCTTTACGGCGGAGTTCTTGCAATTCGTGCTCCGTTCAATTGGAATACGTTTGGCAAAATCATTTCTGACCATCCAGCAACAGATAAATAGACGGAACGTGTCAACCGCATTCTCGAAGAGATACTTCGAGCGTATGTCCACTCGTTTCCGAGTCTGAGTGAGTTCTTGCCAATGGCGCAATTCGCCATCAACAAATCGGTCCACGCGTCGACGTCGCATAAACCGTTTTTCGTGAACGGCCTAGCCATCCACGGTTACCCGCCTTCTTAGAGTGTGACTCTTGTTAAAGAGGGGGGTGGAATCGCTCGAACAAAAACCAATCTGTGTCTTGATCAGCACATGATGTCGTCGTGGTGGTTGCCGATGTCGATGTGATCGACATCGGTGATGATGATGACGACGATGCTGGTATATCCACAATCGCTAATGACCGCCAAAGTGAGGACGATGACACCCTCACTGGTGAAGACAACGTTCTTTCAGCAGTGCACACGAAGCGCACTGCTGTTGACAAGAATGATTCAGCAGAGAAATTTCTGCTGACTCGCGAAACGGTTGTCCGTTTCATTCAAGACTCTATAGCAGATGCACTAGACAGACAGAAGAGAAACGCAGACAAACATGGAAGAGCAAATGTTTTTTCATTTGATAAAGGAGATTTGGTATTAATGTCTGCAGAAAATCTACCGAAACACGCAGTGACAAACGTGGGCAGCAGTAAATTACTGCTTGAGTATTTCGGTCCATTTCGTGTATTGCACCAAACGAGCAACGATTACACGATTGAACTGCCCCGTAAGATGCGCACGCATCCTATGTTTTACGTTGGACGTCTCCGCCCGTACTATCATAACGATCCCGTTTCGAGAGGCGAAGAACACCTCCGCGGTCGACAGCCGAGACCACCCTCGAGTGCAGCCTGCTTCAACAAGCCAGTCTGGTCGACTAGCGAAGCGACCTGCTCACTCAGTTAAGCGATGTCTCGACGAGCAGAAGTCAGCTCCTCACGAAAAGAAAGAGTCAAACGTTCGTTATCAAGTTGCTCGAACGCAAAAGCAGCACGATTGTCCAAACGATCGTGCATTAGGGAATTATGATTATTCCTTATGCAAGGTCATGAAGCTCATAACGCTGAGTCGGTCCATCTTGCATCTGTTCTGTTACACGATTCAGCTCCTCATCATCAAGCTGATCCGACCCTCGAGCCGGATCAGGTGTTCCCGCCACCATCACATCCTTTGGTGGACTCTGGCGGTGGTCAACGCTTTCTGGTAAGCGTATCTTGAACCACCGCGACGTGAATGGCGTCCGGACGAGTTACCTCGTCCGCTGGCGTGGGACACCTGGGAGCCTCCTGCCCAGCTAATTGCTGATGTCCTTGGTCTCATCGATCAATACGACGAGACTTGCCCGCTGCGTTCGAAGAAGGGCCGTCAGAAAACGACCATCCCGAACAAGTACAGGGATTGCAAGGTTTTAATCCCTTCGGCCATCTCAGAAGAGATGCGTGCCCTCCAGTAGGGATCATTAGGGAGGTAGGCCTTCCTAGGGGAACGGTTCGAGTTGTCCAGGCAACCTGGACACGAATCACCACACGCGAGACAGGGTGATCCTGCCTCTCTTGACAGCCAGTGCAACTTGCATCACGCCCCGACTGGGTAGCGTGTTTCCAACCTGATGCAAGCTGCATCAAGTTGGGCGAGTCAGGCCTCATGCCAATGCACTCGATGTTATGGATGAGGGCATTCCAATTCTGCACCTAAGCTTAAACGTTTCGATCACTGCTGCCATTGTACCATCGATGTTTTAAGAACGCATCGGTGAAGAACTCTTCGTCAGCACGGATAGTTTCCGTGCTGAAATCAGGAGGGAAAATCTTCTTGCGATCGAACAACGGGATTCGATCCCATTCAGTAGTCGTGCCGGCCAATCGGTCCAGCACTCTGGATGGCGGCATCCACGGAGACTCCACTTGAGGAGCGTTGCGCAGGACATTTTGGTGCCTGGCCTCTTGATTGGTGCCAGCGTGAGCACTGACACCAGTGACCTCGATTTCTCGAGTTACTTCGCTCGCCGTGATGTATCGATGCATCACCACCATCTCCACCCGACCTATCTTTGGGAGGACTTGCGTGAGGCGGGGATTCGTCCGAACAATCGCTCGATCCGAAGTCTCGAGCATGATGCCACCACGTTGACCAGAGCAAGTCAACTTGGCTCTTGCAGTGTCCGCCCCGGATTACCCGAAGGCGTGAGGTGTCGCCTTCGAGTCGGATGCATCATCTGACTCGCCAGAAAAGATGAGCACTATCTCAGACTTGTCTTGATTACGACCCGAGGTACCCGCTGCAGACGCAACGGATGTACCTGTCGCACGTAATGACTCACCACGTGGAGGATTTACGACAACAGGCAACGAATCGCCTGCTACTGAGGCGTGAGAGGCACTTCCGCGGCCGCACGCATGAGTGCAGCCACCCTACTTGCTGCTGCAGTAGCAGCTCGCGTGATTTTTGAAACCATGCGTTGGATTGGCAAATGAACGGAATATGACCGACAAGTCCTCCCTTTCTCAGAAAGAATTAACGGTAATCACCCCGTCCCAATCAATTCCATTCAATCAATGGGAGATTGATGGTTAAGGAGGAGGTGGTGTAAAGGGGTAGCATGTTCTATGATGTTGACACCAAACGGTGTTAATAAAGATATTGTCTAGCATGACAATATTTTACCGATATTATCCGGGATGGATAATTTTGAAGGAATTTTATCCTCTTTAGATAATATTCAAGTGCTGCTCCAAGATAGGTTGATTAAAGACATATCAACCATAGATTACCACCAATCGCTGCTAGACGCGCTCAGTGAGTGGTGAGCAGTTTGTCGTCATACGACGACGTGGTTTAATATAGTTAGACACGGATTAAAACTATATTGATAGCTTAACTATCTTAAATACAGTTCTCTTTTTACCTTCACTTGAACGAGTAGTTCAAGTAGATTAGCTTCCTCTGCACGTACTAGTGTACGTGAAGTTTCGTGGCACCCAGACAAAGGGTGCCCGTTACAGTAGGGGCTGACTGGTGCCAGTCACTAGATTGGAGAGACCTTAGTTACACTTACTTAGGTTAAGGTATTCTATAGGTGTAAATGTAAATAAACTTTAGTTCCCCTTTCGATCTTAAAGACGCGTGCCTTGCGAGGCGTCTTTGGTCATTGACCGCTGATCACTAATAGAAAGCAACACCTCCCTGAGCTATGTAGTTACTCTTGAGCACTACGTGCTGTCGATCTATTAAATTATTTGGTCCCCTGAACAAGAATCATAAGCGGTAGGCTCATTATCTCATTGAGTCTAGTTCCTGTAGAGCTAAGCTGCTCGTTGAGCGTTGATTCTCCTCTGACTTAAGGAGCTGTGTAGCTCCGCTACAAGTATCATTTAGAACCACGTCGTCGACTTCAAATCATCGTTCTTTTCTATCAACTGGATCCAATGACATGCAACTAATCTTCGCCAATGACATGCAGCCAAAAGTTATTTCGGGTGTCAAAAAGTTATCCTGGGTGTCACAGAGTTTCAAAACGTAGTAGCGAAATAACTCGGGGATAACTCAAGAATAACTTATTCTTGAGTTATCCCCGACCTATTTCCCTACTGTGGCGCACTTTTAAGGGTTTAGCTTGAAAACGTTTTTTGATCAGACAGAGAGTTAAGTTATACTCACTGCTGTAGATGCTCTTAACGTCCGTCCCATCACGTGTTGCCACTACGTAGTGTGAGACCTGCTTACTGTCCACGGCTATGCTGTTAGCAAGTGTATAAACAGTCTGAGTTGGGTGCGAAGAGAGGCAGCCTTCGACTATGTAGCATCTGTCTTGTCATCTGGATTGAGCCCTTGCAATACTCGTTGAGGGCAAGACCGAACAAAAGTGGTAGCACATTCGATCCACTCGTCGTTGTGCATTCGCTGCAACGCTCGGATGTGTTTCTTCGATTTGCGGTGTAAAACATGGTAGAATGGTAGACGCAATCGCAATTCCGCAAGCGTTCGCGTCTCTTGCGCCACGATGTGACACTGTTCATGCGCAAGTGGTGTCCATTCTTTGAGGCCGCATTTGGCGCGATTCAGCTCGTATCTAGCACGCAGCAGGGGCTGCAGGTTGCACAGACAAGGGTAGGATATTGTCCAGGATGGACCCTACCGGATCTATCTTCGGCGGCACGACTTGTACGTCTGGAAACTGACTCTCGACACGTGGCAGTCTGCATCAATGGTTGCCTCGGGGTGCACCTTGGGTGAATGAACAAGCTTCTTCGTTTCGCTATGTCAATGTCGCTTACATATTTTTGGACAACTCACGATCCTTACTGACGAGGCACTTCTGTCTAAGCGTCGCTTTCAAAACGCTCTCGGTGATCGATAGATTATCTTAGCGCTCAATGCTAGGAACATACATGCAAACGTAGGATAAACACCACGACGAGACGTGTGTCGCTCTCTTTACTGTCAGAGGAGTCAGAGTCTAGCTTGTCCCAATGAAGAGTAGGGTAGTGATATCACTTGCTCAGCCAGTGGTCGTCAACCTTTGACATTTGAATGCCTCCTATGGCGTCTTCTTGGTTGTCGAACCAGTTTACGGTATGGTAAGATCATACTGTAGTTGTCCGGGACGGTTTCTTGATAGCGTACGTATACTATACCCGCCCTGACCTACACAGGATGAAAAGCTTGGGCTTTGCTAAAACGACAATTCAGAAGCAAATCATCACGCTTCTAGGTACACGAATGCACGATCGGCGGAAAGGCTTAAAAAAGAAATGCATAGAGTGTTCGTTCATACAGAGCGTCTTGACGGGTTTGCTTGACGAGCAAGCTAAGCCGAAACGTGTGAGCATTCCAAGGTCTCGATTTGCTCAATCTCAACCTGTAGTGTCCGCTTGCTACTTCCCGCACTATCAAATGAGTGGCCGCTATAGAGTTGTAGCAATTCCACTTTTCAATTGACTATTCTCGCATTTCGAATGGTCTCATGGTCACGTTTTTGTACGTGATGCGTACGCACTTGTCCCTCTTATGGCATCACTGCATGTCCGTACTCGAGCCTCGACATGTCGACATTGGCGTTCGTTTGCTACACCGATGCTGAGCAAGACGGACTACGTTGCGACCATTGTTTACAGCCGCAGCCATGAGCATCAACGGCGATGTGCTGTCATGTCGCTGCATCCAGTCGCCTCGTCGCATTATATTCGGTGTCGTTAGCTCATGTCGGTTGCAAACGTTCTGGATCAGCGGCAGCCGCGTAGTATGGCAGTATCCACATTGACAAAGTGTGCTAAAGAGCACGCATCAGGGGCGTTCGTATCACAGCAATAGCTTTTAACATCTAACAGGTCAACAGTCAAGTACGTGAAAGTAGCCTATTTCGACATCTAGCAGACCTGACTGACCAAGAATCTGCACTTGCCCATACTGAACGACTGGCTATCCGAGTGAGACGTCTACGAAGGAGCGAGCACAAGTGCCAGCATACAGCATTTAAATGAGCAAAGCAATCGCCACATCGAGGTAGAAGCGACCTACCTTTTGGCCAGGCTATCGCCCGTGCAACTCCTTCATGTGCAGTGACGATTTGCGTGCAAGGCAGAAGTGCCTCTACACGTTCATGGGAAGTGCAGCCCCCCCCCGAACCGTGGCGACTAGGACGGAGCATATCACTCCTGATTACCTGGTGTTCACGCGGTAGGCGGTGTTCAGCGTGCCAGTTTGCCCCAACATCGACGTGGTGGTCATTCAGCAATTTCGAGTAATATAAACAACCAACATCGGTGCCTCGAAATTGATCTCAACCAACTATGCATCTACAATACGTCCTCACACTGGTTGCCGCCGCTCTTGTCGCAAGTAAGAGTTCTGCTTCAGCCGCTAAGCCCGCACATGATGCTAGAGCCAGAAACCTAGCTTCGCAGGACCAAGTCCACCTGATCGACCTTCTTAAATCGGAGACCAAGACCAAGCGAATGCTCCGTGGTGCTCAGGATTTCAATGAAGATAACACTGTTGAGTACTCCCCAAGCAGTGGCGCGCCCAAGAAAAACCTTCATCGAAGACAAGCTAAAGGATTTGCTGTCCAGCCTGGAGACGACGACGAGGTTTTACGATCGCTGGTACGAGAGTGGATATTCCATCGAACAAGTCACCCGTAGCCTCGAGGAGAGTAAAAGCAGAGATGTCAACGAGACGTACAGGAGTCTCGCTAAGGGTTATGCAGCATACGTTGAAGATAAAGAGAATCAGACAGAGGTTGAGCCAGTCGATCGCAAATAAGGATCAGGGGCCCGTGACAGGTCGGTCAGCCAGCGAACACTAGCATAAAAGACCTAACTTCTTACCATTACGAATGATTCAATTTTTGGCTCCCGCTTCAGTATGGATAAATTGACCTGCTAAGTGTCGAAAACATCGAGCGATGCAAGCTTGTATCTCTTTGCGACAGCGGCGGCCAAACTTTAGCTATTTCTTCGATCGATTGCGAGCTTTTATCGAGTGTTCATCACGTACGTACAAGCAATCGATGCGGTAGCTCTAATGTTCGTTCTTCACGGCTGCATAAAGTCAGTGGACCCGAATTTCAGTCTTGCCACTCGTCAACGGTACATGTTCATCGTCGACGTTACCACACGTACATACAACAGTGGTATACTGGTGTCCCCGGCACTTCTACCACATGGACCACCGACAAAAAGGACCAGCAGAGTCCGAGAAAGTTTTGGAATCGCACATGCAGAACGGGCTACGTCGGGTGAGCCACCCACGCAGACAGCGAGTGGTAGACCGTGCGAGGCACGGAAGGTTTTTGTACGATGAACTGTCGCGTCGCAGGAGGACGCGCTTGGGGTCGTTGATCGTCGTGCATTGGGAGGTGGACGGAGACGTGGAGGATGGATGAGTCAGTGGTGGTGGATGGGGTGTAGCCTTGGTCGTCTTGGGATTGCAGGGGAGGCGTCGACTGGTTTGACTTCGGCTGTCGTTGGGTGGCATGATGGGAATTCGTTTGGTGAAGAAGTTGTACGACTGTTGGGGATGAAGGTACGTTTAGGAGACTGTGGAGAGAGAGAGAGCGTGAGAGTGGATGTGCGTACGTGTGCAAGGATGTGTTTACTGGTCGGACAGTTTCTGGAAGAGTGACATGGGCACGTCGGATTGGAACATGGACTTGACGTGCGTTTATCTGCCCCGACCCTTTTGTAGAGATTCGTAAAAAGAGATAAAGTTGAGACGTTACAACAACTTGCTCGTGTGTAAATCTAGTGTTTTCAAGTCCGAGTCAAGAGTACGGGGTTTTGCGCCGTGTGCGAGAGGTCTTTTGTTGACCACTGATGGAGGATGCAATACAAATAGATTGCGAAGTAGGGCCTAATAGACCATGTGCCGCTTTGTGATGTGATTCCAGCAGCGACCAGATGATTAGACAACTCCGGCCTAAGTTGCGGGAATGTTGTCAACATGTCGATGGCGTGAAGTTATTCGGTGGAAGACCGACCATGCAAAGCGTCACGCTGCTAATAGGTGGACAGCGATAGTGTCAGGTGCCTGTAGACATCGACAGTTTTGAGCACTTGTTGAGCCAACGCGCTCCAAATTGCAGGTGTTGCAAACGACCATCTAAAGTGATGATATCGTATTCACCAGTTTGTGTCGGCCCCATCCTGCCTCTGCCATCCGATAAAATTTAAGTGGTCCAATTTGAGGGTACTGATGTTATGGACTGTTACGAGGCCTAAGTCTTTATGTATTGCGTGTGTTTATAGCTAACGATGGAATAATCGTTAGCACACCGATATCGAGGTTCCGACATGTACGCTCTAGATTCTAATTTTGTTCAATCTCTCAGACCGCGTTGTCCCAAGCAATAGCCAATCAGAACCGACTACTCTTTGGCAGGTACTGGCACCAAGAAATAGGGCTAGTCTTGGCAACAATTCGGGAGCTAATTTTTGCCAACATGCCGCTGAGGCTACGGCTGCGCACTTAGAGCTCCGCAAAGCAATAAAGAACTTCGTGAATACTTCTAGCGCAATGTGGTCGGGACCACAATAGCTTACCAAAGCTTTTCTCCTCACACGTGGTAGAAATTCGCAAGTTGTCGACGCAAGAACTAGCATGTCGTACGGGAAAGTTGTACCGGGGTCCATGATCGTGTTGCGTGTGTGTTTTTGTTCATCACAACACGACCATCTTCCGTTGAACTGGGTGCTGGGCCGCCTAAAATTAAGACGTTTGACAGGACTGTTACGGCGATGGAAGACTCATCCACGCTTTCCAGCCGAAACTTGTCGCTATTGCTCTGATCCACGCGGTAGAGCGTCTCTCCAGCAGCGAGTATAACCTAACTTTTCGTGCACCAGTCAGAGACCAGTGTAACTTCCTCTCAAACTGACACGCAAAAAAACTTCACAGCAGTCAGTATAACGATAGAAAATCTGCTCTTTTCGGCCGAACGTGGCTGGTAAAGTTGTGGTCGTCTTGGTTTGTTTTTTGGTCCCCAGTTTGGTTCCACGGTGTAAAGTTGCTAGTGTCATTTAGAACCACGTCGTCGACTTCAAATCATCGTTCTTTTCTGTCAACTAGAGCCAATGACATGCAACTAATCTTCGCCAATGACATGCAACTAATCTTCGCCAATGACATGCAGCCAAAAGTTATTTCGGTGTCTTAACGTAATCCCGGGTGTCACAGAACTGCAAAACGTAGTAGCGAAATAACTCGGGGATAACTCAAGAATAAGTTATTCTTGAGTTATCCCCGACCTATTTCGCTACTACGTTTTGCAGTAATAACTCGGGGATAACTCAAGAATAAGTTATTCTTGAGTTATCCCCGAGTTATTTCGCTACTGTGGCGCACTTTTAAGAGTTTAGCTTATAGACATTTTTTTGATCAGACAGAGAGTTAAGTTATACTCACTACCGTAGACGCTCTTGACGTTCGTTCTATCACAGGTTGCCACTACGTAGTGTAAGGCCTGCTTACTGTCCACGGCTATGCTGTTAGCAAGTGTATAAACAGTCTGGGTTGGGTGCGAAGAGAGGCAGCCTTCGACTATGTAGCATCTGTCTTGCCATCTGGGTTGAGCCCTTGCAATACTCGTTGAATGCAAGACCGTACAAAAGTTGTAGCACGTTCGATCCACTCGTCGTCGTGCATTCGCTGCATCGCTCAAATGTGTTTCTTCGATTTGCGTTGTAAAACATGGTATAATGGTAGACGCAATCGCAATTCCGCAAGCGTTCGCGTCTCTTGCGCCACGATGTGACATTGCTCATGCGCAAGTGGTGTCCATTCTTTGAGACCGCATTTGGCGCGATTCAGCTCGTATCTAGCACGCAGCAGGGGCTGCAGGTTGCACAGACAAGGGTAGGATTTTGTCCGGGATGGACCCTACCGGATCTATCTCTGGCGGCACGACTTGTACGTCTGGAAACTGACTCTCGACACGTGGCAGTCTGCATCAATGGTTGCCTCGGGGTGCACCTTGGGTGAATGAACAAGCTTCTTCGTTTCGCTATGTCAATGTCGCTTACGTAGTTTTGGACAACTCACGATCCTTACTGACGAGGCACTTCTGTGTACGCGTCGCTTTCGAAACGCTCTCGGTGATAAATAGATTATCGTAGCGCTCAATGCTAGGAATGTACATGTAAACGTAGGATAAACACCACGACGAGACGTGTGTCGCTCTCTTCACTGTCAGAGGAGTCAGAGTCTAGCTTGTCCCAAGGAAGAGTAGGGTAGTGATATCACTTGCTCAGCCATTGGTCGTCAACCTTTGATCAACATTTGATTGCCTCCTATGGCGTCTTCTTGGTTGTCGAACCAGTCGACGGTATGGTAAGATCATGCTGTAGTTGTCCGGGACGGTTTCTTGATAGCGTAGGTACACTATACCCGCCCTGACCTACACAGGATGAAAAGCTTGGGCTTTGCTAAAACGACAATTCAGAAGCAAATCATCACGCTTCTAGGTGCACGAATGCACGATCGGCGGAAAGGCTTAAAAAAAGAAATGCATAGAGTGTTCGTTCATACAGAGCGTCTTGACGGGTTTGCTTGACGAGCAAGCTAAGCCGAAACGTGTGAGCATTCCAAGGTCTCGATTTGCTCAATCTCAACCTGTAGTGTCCGCTTGCTACTTCCCCGCACTATCAAATGAGTGGCCGCTATAGAGTTGTAGCGATTCCACTTTTTCAGTTGACTATTCTCGCATTTCGAATGGTCTCGTGGCCACGTTTTTTTGTACGTGCTGCGTACGCACTTGTCCCTCTTATGGTATCACTGCACGTCCGTACTCGAGCCCCGACTTGACGACATTGGCGTTCGTTTGCTACACTGATGCTGAGCAAGACGGACTACGTTGCGACCATTGTTTACAGCCGCAGCCATGAGCATCAACGGTGATGTGCTGTCATGTCGCTGCACCCAGTCGCCTCGTCGCATTATATACGGAATCGTTAGCTCGTGTCGGTTGCAAACGTTCTGGATCAGCGGCAGCCGCGTAGTATGGCAGTATCCACATTGCCAAAAGTGTGCTAAAGAGCACGCATCAGGGGCGTTCATATCACAGCAATAGCTTTTAGCATCCAACAGGTCAACAGTCAAGTACGTGAAGAAAGTAGCCTTTCTCGACGTCCAGATCAAGGCATCGCGGTATTAAGAGCCGGATCGACTTCACGGATCCTAGAAGGAGACCCCCCCCTTTTTCCGTCGAAAGTCTTAACGCTAAGAGCGAGCGGACGAGCCTTTGTCTCACTGTTAGGTACTGGAATGTACCGTGTAGGTATCGCTGAGGATAAATGTAACGGGGTGAATCGTTACATAACAATTTATAAGAAAT